TTCAAAAACAATTTAAGGCTACTCAGTAAAGTACACTCACTAATAATTTAAAATATCCTAACCATTTAAAAGGAAATGAATCATTAAAGTAAAAATAAATCTCACATTTCCCATATAAAGCATTTATCAAGTACAAAGAAAGGCTTATTTGCCACAAAATAAAAGGGCACAAAGAAACCAAGAATTAAGTTAACATCTGCCCAGTCAACATATTTCTTAGTTTATATCTATTAAAGTCAAGTTAATAGTTACTCACCACAATAATATCTGGGTCAATTTTGTGAACCTTCGCAAGGAAAAATCCCAGTAACGTTCTCTCTGTTGCAGCAATCTCTACGTTAGAATTCTAAGAGGAGCAAGAGGGAGTACCTGGTTTCAATGACCCAATAAAAACTGAAAGTTTAAAATGAAAAACCCTCTCCCTCATTCATGAGTTACAAGACTACAATAAACACTGCATAATTGAAGGCTTCATAATTTAAGACTTCTTGTTCCCATGCACAGGGCTACAGAAAGCTTTTCTCACATACCCTTTTCTGTTTTGCCTTTGGGTGCAAGTGTTTCCAAGAATCTTGCTAGGAGTCAGGAACAGCGAGACAGTGCTACATATGATATACATAACATTTGCCCACAGGCTTAATATCGCACACACAAAAAAAAGAGTAGGCTACATTTTTGTGCTGCCAAACTTTTTAGTGGCTCTTTAAATATGAAAAGAGGATTTTTTTAAAGAAATTTTGATGGACTTTACTGCACATGAAAATGAGAATCTAACACAGGGGCGGGCAAACTTTTTGGCCTGAGAGCCACATCCGATTTCCAAAATTGTATGGAGGGCCAGTTAGGGGAGGCTGTGCCTCCCCAAACAACCAGACGTGGTCCAGCCCCAGCCCCCGCCCCCTATCCAAACCCCCACACACACTTCTCGCTGACGCCCCCTCCCCCCCCGGACTCCTGCCCCAGCCAACCACTCCTTCTCTCTGTCCCCTGACCACCCCTGGAACTCCCCCACCACCCCATCCAACCCCCTCTTTCCTTCCTGACTGCCCCCCCAGGACTCCTGCCCCCATTCAATCCCCATTCCCCGCCCTCTGACCGTCCCAACCCCTATCCAACCCCCCCACTCCCTGCCCCCTTACCGTGCTGCCTGAAGCACCGGTGGCTGGCGGCGCTACAGCCGCACCGCGCAGAGTGGCAGGACAGCCACGCCGCCCGGCTGGAGCCAGCCACGCCGCCGCGCAGCACAGAGCACTGGGTCAGGCCCGGGCTTTGCAGCTGCACTACCCCAGGAGCTCGCAGCTCCACCGCCCAGAGCACTGCACCAGTGGCGCAGTGAGTTGAGTCTGCGGGGGAGGGAGAACAGCAGGAGAGGGGCCGGGCAGGAGCTTAAGGGGCCAAGCAGGAATGTCCTGCGGGCTGGATGTGGCCCGAGGGCCGTAGTTTGCCCACCTCTGGTCTAACAGAATCAGCTTGAAATAAGTATAACAAAATAAAATACAGTGTAAAGCTGCCCACAAAGATCTGCCAATGTACCTCAAATCTTACCTGTAACATTCTTCCCGAACCTTTTGAACTGCCAACTGTGCCAAATTATATGACAGTTTTGTAACATAAGTAGTGACAGATCAGCAGGTATGTTTTCAAAAAGAGGATGTAAAGTAAAGATTTGAATGTACATTTTCAGAGACAAAAGCTAGTGCTCTAAACTACTCCATCCAAATCTCTTCTCCCACAATTCAAAGGCAGTATCTCAGAAGGCATTCTATTCTGAATGCTAAGAAAATAAGTTACCTTGCTTTTAATGATTTCTTTGAAGTCATAAGGGAAAATACAATCATTTGGTTTGGAAATAACTGCAAAAGAAATAAGTGGTTTGGTTTCATTTGGGTATGAAAAACAATGTCATTTGTTAGAAGTTATTTTTTTTGTAAGACTATCTTTTTAATTTAAGAGTCTTCGGATCCAATGGGTCTGGACGAAATGCCGCCTTATCTTATTAGGTAGTAACGGTGTGCTTGGCACTGTACAACATACAAAATGAAGTCAAGTCCATACCAAGACTCAACAACTGAATTAAAATGTAGCTATCTACTATAAAACTAAATTCAAGAGTTTAAACTTGATTAAAAAGACAGTTTTCTGGGCTGGAAATTGACAAGTCACTAAACCAGAACAGATAAGCAGAAGACAATCTAATCTAACATCTTGCTTTTAACAGGGACTTCTATTTAAAAAAAAAAAAGTACTCAGCTACACTTAAAGAAATTTAAAACTCTGCCATGGCTTTTGAGTTAAAATTACATGGATTTTATGTTTTTCAGAGTGGCATTTAGTTTAAAAGAAATTAACAATAAATAAATCCAATAAAAGTAAAACTATTAGATGTAGGGTTGACAGAATTAGATTTTTTAATAATTGACAGATCATATCAGTTTATTTGTAAGCATTTTTTTCTATTTTTATTTATTTAAATGTTCACAGATGTGGGAAATTATGGGGGGGAAAAACAGGAAAAAAGAGGAGGGGCAGGCAAAATGATTTAACAAACAGTGGATGTTGAGATTCAGAAAGTTAAAGCTCTGTAACTGTTAAAACAAATTGTCAACATCCCGTGTTAAAATATACAAATTAATATCCATAAATCACACCCTACTAAGTTCCCAAGCAGTATTTTTCTTACTTTGCCTATCTGTAAATTTTGATCATCATCGATGGAAATATTTTTTCATCATTTGTGTGAGTGGTGAAATTGAGATTTATCAACATTTACCAATAAAAATCTAATCCTTTCAAGCCCAAACCCTAATTATATGTCATTAGCCGTTCTCAAATTGTGCCAGGGGAGCACTTACAGTTCACATTCTAGCTCCTCTATGGGCCTCCAAAACTCTACACAACTATCAATTGGGATCTGAGGCATTCTGAGCTGATAATCCAGTTGACCACACCCACATGCTCAGCTGTGCATCTTTTAAGTTTTCATATTTCTTAATTTCATATTACTGCCTTGAGATCTCAGCTCAGCCTTTTAAAAAGAAGTTCAACTGAAGCTATTGCTGGCCTGCTTCTAGCTGAACTTTTACTTTAAAAGACTGAACTGTATTTAAATTAAACAATAAAAAAAATTTTGAAAGAGAAAGAGAGGCCTTCATAGACAAACGCTAAGATTTCTACCAAGTAAATGTCATAGCAACTAAGTTTAAAAATATGGAGGAAACTGTGGGGTAGTGAATAAAATCCAAGCATCTCATCTAATCAGCTCTCTCCCCACCACCATTCAGGCATCATACCATTACTGCTGACAGACTGTGGGGAAAGGACTGTTCACATAGAAATTCTTGCTTGCACCTCTCTCCAATAAACATTTTAAAAATAGATATTAAAAAGGGAGTCAAGTGAAGTTATTGAAGCAATATTTAAAATTGCTCTACCCATAACTTGGTCCAATTACTCACCACAGAAGTGTGTCTGGAAAGGAGGCTGAGGAGGTGCTTTATCCAAACAAAATCTTTGATGGACTAGAGCTGCAACAGCCATGACCTACACCAAGAAATGAGAAATACTTTGATAATAAACTATGACAATATGCAACGGCATAGTTACATCAGGTTAACAGTATCAAATTGCCTCTATCCCTCCACTTGCTTTTGAACAGTCTTCTCCAATTCTTACTCCTTTTTTAAAAAAGGCAATTGCCTACTTTAAGTGAATTTCAGCTGCAAATTGCTGAAGTTTTCAGCATGGTTTATTGATCTTAAGTAGCACAAGCTACCGTTCAAGAAATACTATGACTGGATTTTGATATCAAATACAGAACCGGGTGGAGAGAGGCAACCGCGCTTCATGAAGGATTTTGGAATTTCAAGATCGAGTTTTGTTCTGATTTTGGAACAAAACTCCAAAATTTTGACGTTTTCTGCAAATAGGAAATGAAGCACCAAGGAGTGGAGGACGGAGCCTGTGGTCCCCAACCCTGGGACACTCTGATAGGAGGACTGCCTGGAACCCTGGGGTGCCAAAGAGGCACAAGCTCTCAGCTCGCTGAGGAGCCAGAAGCCTGGAAAAAGCAGGCTCTTCAGCAAGCCACTAGACCAGCTGCTGAGGATATACCTATCTCCTAGAACTGGAAGGGACCTTGAAAGGTCATCGAGTCCAGCCCCCTGCCTTCACTAGCAGGACCAAGTACTGATTTTTGCCCCAGATCCCTAAGTGGCCCCCTCAAGGATTGAGCTCACAACCCTGGGCTTAGCAGGCCAATGCTCAAACCACTGAGCTATCTCTCCCCCCCCCACAGGATGCAGGCAGGTGAGCTGGCAGATTCCGTTGGAACCTGCTCTCCGCAGAATGTTTCAGTTTTGGTGAATTGGCCAAACTCTGACAAAAAACGTTTTGCTGGAATGCTTCTGACCAGCTTTAATAAAAGAGTTTGTTGGAAACAACTGTCTGTATAAATAATTTGCGACACTACATATATTCCATACTGGTATCTTGTACTACAAGCTAGTAGGTCAGTATTAGCTTTAGCTTTTTTGGAACTTTATTCTGGTTAGTGCAAGTTTTAGAAAGTTAACACGGTGAGGCCAACTTGTTAGCATGTTTAAAATATACAGTTTAAAGCATTTAATTACAGTGGGTAGTCTAAAGCAGTGGTGGGCAACCTGTGGTCCGCGGACCGCACACGGCCCGTCATGGTAATCCGCTGGCAGGCCGCGAGACAGTGTTTAAATTGACCATCTGCAGGCACGTCCACCTGCAGCTCCCAGTGGCCGCGGTTCACCATTCCCAGCCAATGGCAGCTGCAGGAAGCAGCGCGGGCCGCAGGAACATGCTGGACGCCGGTTCCCGCAGCTCCCGTTGGCTGGGAACAGCAAACCACTGCCAGTGGGAGCTGCAGACGACTGTGCCCGCGGACAGTCAATGTAAACACTGTCTCGCGGCCTGCCAGTGGATTCCCCTGATGGGCCACATGCAGCCTGTGGGCCACAGGTTGCCCACCACCGGTCTAAAAATCTACTGCTGTGGTTTTCTATCTTGATGAATAAAAAGTGGCAGCAGCATAATAGCTAGTATGCGAGTTTAAATCGGTTTCCCAATCTGTTATGAAAATTTGTTTATCAGAGGTAATCCTTTATTTTAATCAGAATACATAATGCGTAAAAGCCACATTACTGGGTATATATAATCCGTTGTGTGTTTCTTTAAAAGTAAAAGATTTATTTAGTCTACTATAACCCAAGACTGCATTTTGGGGTGTTTTCCGTAAAACAACAAAATTTTAATATACAAACTGAGACCCTGATCTTTTAACGAGCTCTGAGCAGATGGATACATCAGCCCACAGTGGGGTTCAACTACACAGATCTCATTGCAGAATCAGATCCACAGAATCAGGTCTATTGCAGACATCACAATTAAGGCTTTTTGGCTGGTGAAGTTCTTCCAGTTACTAATTCTTACTTAGCATATGCCATACAAAAAAAATCAAACTCATCACTAACGCTGATCATTTACCTCATGCTGGTGAGTCTTCACATTCTGAATTGTCCTCATGCTGAGAGACATGATCACAAGAGGAGGAGGAGGAAGATCTTTAACTATATTCACCAAGTCAGGTTTCAGTGCCGTTGCCTCCACCTTACACCAACTGACTGGATGACTCAAGGGCTCTGTGGAAACAAATGAGCCACTTAAAAGAACGAAAAGGTCATCATAAGCTGGGGGGAAATGGCTACCTTACAATAACTGGTTCTCCAAGTTGTTTTGTCCAAGCGAATCCCTCTAAGTACGCCTGGGAGATGAAAATCATCCAATAGCAGCGTCTGTTTGTGCCCTGCATGTCCTTGTGTCCCCTAACCAAGGGCAGAGAAGCTGTAACCATCTGTCAGTTCCCGTGCTCATTCAGAATCTCCATTTAAGGGAGATTTTGAAAAACCAGGGAAGAAGGGCAGGTTGTAGGATCCACACCAACAAAACATCCT